ATTCGAAGATCCATCCTTTGGAGAATGGAGAGGTAACATTACTTTTTTTTTTAAGTAAAAAAGAGTGAGCAGTGAGTGTCTCGATTGTCAAACATTGCACTTTTCACACAGCGCCTCTGTTCGGTACCAACCAAGTGCAATTGCGTGGAAGTGGTTGATAGAAAAACACTTCAGCTGTGTTTCATTTCGGGGAGTTGACCGTTTTAAACCATATTATGGCGAGCTGAATTGAACTGCATCTCTTGGTGTAAACATGAATTAACACAATATGGTTACTGACAGATACGTTCATTGATGTCCGTAGATGCTTTGTATTGACTTTGTCTTGCCCTCAAAGCTTCAAAAAAGACTGGACAGGTAATTTTTCCGATCAATTTTTTTTTTTTTAATCTTGTGCTACAAGTTATTATGTTGCGCACATTGCCCAATATAGTAATCACCTTAAGGGAATGAAGTTTTGTTAACCAAGGTTATTGATGAAAGATTTGTGGAAGCAAATGGGCATCGAACCACATTCTTTGTGTGACGAGGCCACAATACTGCTTCAAAACACATTTGATGAGCCCTACTCATTAAGTCCATTGTGGTTCTGTTTTGTTTAACTGTATTGCCTGCGTTATTGATGTGTAGTTTAGTTTTGTTTTTTTTTTGCTAAAGATTTGTGTCTCCGTGTTCAGTGCGCAGACTCACAAATAGATTATGTTTAATGAAAAGTAATTGGTGTGTTGTTTCTGTTTTTTTTCTCTGATAGCAGAGGACATTCAAAACATGATTTTTGTTTTTTCTTAAGTGATCATTAAAACCATAATCATTTCAGGCAACAATAGATTTTTACTTTAGTGAAGTCATTATGGGCGGCTTCATTCCGGCTCCGGCTTTCCTGTGCGGAGTTTGCATGTTCTCCCCGTGCCTGCGTGGCTTTTGTCCGGGTGTTGCGGTTTCCTCCCACGTTCCAAAAACATGCATGCATTGTCTTGCTACAATTATGTGTGGATGCTAAAAGTGGCGTAGCGGTCTTAAGTGACATTAATGAACCGAAGGCATCAGGACACACAATGGGCTACATTTCCATTTCCAACATAGGCCTCTAATTGTAGTCGCCCGTCTGGATATGTGTGCACATTTTCCCCATGAGGGTGAATGTTTGTCTTTTTTTTTTTTTCGAGTGTGTTTGTCCTGTGTATGTTTGTGTGCGCGTGTGTGTCCTGTGGGGAGCGCACCGGAGGGGGTGTGAGCGAGGAGATGTCAAGAGCTGCAAGTAACGGAGGAGTCTGAATGTGCCGTGTGTGTGTGCATGCGCGCTTGTGGTTGACAGTTCCCTAGCTGTCTGATCGCAGTGCAACTATAATGAGTCAGAGGCGATGTGTCTTTCTCTCACACACACACACACACACACATGCATTCGCAGTGTCACTCATAACACATTCACACCTACACAGCCATCGCCTTCGTTACTTCCAAGCGTGCGTCTTGCACCCATCCAGTATTCTCCTCCTCTCCTCAACACACTTTTGGCACAATTGACGACTTTTTGGCACATGCCAAATGTTGCTTTTGGCCACATTTGTGAGACGGCTGACAGAAGTTCTCCTCTCTCTCACTGTGTGGCTGCTTGCTTACATTGCTCTAACCGGACATCAATGCAGTCAGTCCATGTTTATACTATACATGTGTGACATTATGTCCCAGAGTGGTACCAGATAAATGCTCCTCGGTTTTCTCCACATTCTTAGCAGTCAAACAAGTGTCAAACGTACTCAACTCTAACATGTTTTCTTGCGACTGACCCAAGTATGAAAAAAATGTGGTTGTTTTATCCAAAACTATGCAAAAGGCTGGGTCGAATTGACCCAAGTACGAAATAATTTGGTTGTTTTGTACAAAACAATCCAGAAAGTGAGTTCAAATTGACCCAAGTAGCAGGGCGTTCTATTTTTGACCAAACATGGGATATTAACATCCAGTCGAGTCGACGCATATTTGTGAAGGTGTGTTTTGATGTGGCTGTCCTTTCCCCCGCCGACCAATCTGTTACCCGTGACGCCTCTGACCTCTGCCACTCTCCGTCACTCGAAAAGACTCGATGTTTGCCTTCTGTTTCATTCGGTCGTCCCATGTCACGATTTATCCATCTTTCCCTCGTATAGATCCACACGTCTTTAATCAATGGGCGTCCAAGTGCAGATGACCCATCCCCGACCCTGCTGAACTTCACCTCTGCCCGCTACATCAGGCTGGTGTTTCAGAGGATCCGAACGCTCAATGCAGACCTCATGACGCTAACACTTCATGACCCCAGAGACATCGATCCCATCGTGACGAGACGGGTGAAGCTTATTTATTATTATTATATATGGTTTTTTTTTTTTAATCCTAGTCGTATGGACACATACTTTATCTGTCAGTGTGGAAAGGGATTTTAAGTTTAAAAATTTTAAGCCATTCAACATATCTTATTATTGGGCCCTGGAAAAGTTTGTTTATTCCTCCAATGTATTAATGTGTGGCCAACATGAAAACCAGAAGGCTACTTATGAGTGGCGAAAAACGAGCCGCTGTACCTGAAATAAAAGATGAACTATTGATCAATCGTCACGTTTCAATCAACAGCAAAAATAAAAGAATTGTACCTCCCTGTTCCAATTCTTTAGGGGGGGAGTGAAAGGTCAAGTCAATGAATCTCAATGCTAAACACAATTTGAAAGGTTGTCTCGGTTGCGCCGCAAATACTATAAAGCACCAAAGTGGCTTAGAATGACTCACCAAGATAATTATTTTGCTATTAAGGGTGCTACTTCAAGGTTTTTTTTGTTTGTCGGTGAATGTCATCACTGTGTCAGCAAATGTCAACACACTCATGAATGCTCTCCTGTTGTTTCTCCTCAGTACTACTATTCCATTAAGGATATTTCAGTGGGAGGGATGTGCATCTGTTATGGTCACGCAAAGGCTTGTCCACTCAACAGTTTCACCAAGGTAAAGCACGAAACTCCTTCACATTTCAAGACAACATACTTTCTTATCATAACGTGAAGAAAAAAAAAACATATATATCAAGTCGCCTCAGGCTTGAAGGTTTTTATGTGCCACCTTGATATCAAACTTTTTCCTACAGGGGACACAGGTGTTGTCTGGCACGTCAGTTCAAACAGTCGAGCGTTTGATCGCAGACACCTGATCTCTCGCGCATTTTCCCCTCACACCTTTGCGGCCCTCTCGTCCTGCGCGTGTCCTCGGGGTGAAACGAGCCTTACCCTGGATGTGACAATTGTGTGACTCTCTCGCAAGCTAATGATGTCATTGAATTCATCCGATGTCATTCGCTTCAGGAGTGCCGGTTGTTTTTTTCGTTCTTTACTGATCTTACCACCACAATCTCACATTAGAGAAAATGTATGTACCCCCAAGACTAAGGAGAAAAAAAAATATATGCAGATATTCAAATTATTATGGGGTTGGTCCGTAGTTAGTTATGATTAATTTATACATAAAATGGACTGCATAAATTTCCTTAACTATCGCTACACACAGTACAGTTAGAGAATATTTAAATAGTAAGTACTGTATTTAATTATCCTTATAGGGTGTGTTATATTATTTTAATAGCCTATATTTTATGGTTTATCATCCCATCATCTATTTGAGTTGAACTTGCTCCCGTGTCTTCTGCTGGAATCGCAGCTACCTAAAACACTACACCATCAATGGCCCATATTTCAGTATTTATTTTCTCTTTGGCAATGGAGGAATCATGCGGTTCATCTGGAATACCGAATGTGGTCCTGAGCCGAATTAAAGGCTTTACAAAACATCATCCTCAATATGCATAATATCTGACAGACTCTCAGGTTTGGAAAAGATTTCCAAACTATCGTTTGTTGATTTGGTGTCTGATGGCTGCCATGAATAATATATCAGTCAACATGTTTAGCCTCCACTGTGGCAAAAAAATCAATACAGACAATATTCTTGTTTCGTTCCTTTAAGAAAAAATGTGAACATAAACATAGAAAAAAAATAAAAAGACGAAACAAAACATAATCAAATAATGTGATTTAATAGAGAGTCAATATAGCTTGACGGACGTTTTTGCAGTACATTTACGTCTTCTACACGGTCACCCATAAATGCTGTTCAGTCCTGAGCAGATGTTAAGAGGGCAGATACGATGGAGACCTGTCAGCTGATTTGTTGCTGATTGTCCACAGAACATCTGTTAGGATGCGTGCTGAGCACAAGAGCCGCCCGAAGCCAAGAGCCGCAGCGTTTTGTCTCCGATAAAAGTGTGTGTGTGGGGTGAGGGATGTGGGGCGGAATCGACTCATGCCAAAATAACCAAACTTGGCCCATGATGCGCAATTGTACTCGGTTCAATCTGGCAACCTCTCCTCATCAACCAATTTACAGAAAGTACAAAATTGAATTACTAGGCCTCCAAATTGGCAGATGTCTTCCATTGGCGTATTGTGCTCCAACTGTGTTCTGATGTCTTTCCTCTCAGGGAGGTGGCTGTGAATCCATTTGTTACCAGCTGATAATGTGGGAAGGGAAACAAGATTTTTTTTTTTTTTATTGCGCTCCCTTGTTGATACATTCTTGTTTGATAGACTACTTACAAATTCCGGTAATTACCTTTCGCAGCCGTCTATCTGAACATTCAGTTGACTGTGGTTGAGCCGCGTGAAGCCGCATTTCATTCACGATGAGGTTTTGGATAAAGATACTTGATGCTGAGATTTTCGCAATCAAATTCCACATATTCATTGGATTTATTTGTGCTGAAAAAATATGTAGTAATATGACGTCAGTGGTATTTTTAAGTTATTTGTTGCTTGCTGTTCTGTTTACCGTATTTGGCCTATTTGGACTTTCAGATATGGAAGGCATCATATTCTGGCATTCTGAGCCATTTCATAAATTCCAGACACTTCTTTGAAATTCACAGATGGTTCATTGGACGTTTGATGAACACATAACTTCATATCTGTGTTTTCATGCAGAAGTTCAGCTGCGAATGTGAACACAACACATGCGGCGAGAGCTGCGATCAATGTTGCCCCGGTTACCACCAACAAGCCTGGATGGCAGGAACCTTTGTCACTCGACATGTTTGTGAGAGTAAGTTGTAATGCAATGCATATTTATTATTTCAGCGAGGTAGGAAAATGAAAATCATTTAAAATGTGCCCTAACAGGGCACATTCCAGAGACTTTTATAATAACAACGTTTATTTAAAATCATTGCGAATGGGTGAAACGACACGCTTAGGATCACGCAGCAGTAAAATGAGAATCAGTTAGCATTTCATTGTACGTACCCGGAAAAGACACACACGCAAATACAAGCATTCTCTGCTTCTTAATCTGCACATTTGCTTGTAAATTTACAGGAATAGAGGCAGGAAATATTTGACTTAATGACGTTTGTCACAGGGAGAACACGAAGCGCTAACTGTTATCTACTTAGACGGCCATAAAACATAACCGTTTTCTTATTTAAATGAGAACGAGCTGTGAACACATTCACGTTGATGAAATCATTATAAACAAAAGGCCCCAATCATTGACAGCGCGCATCATTTTTACACAGTTTACCCTCGGTTACATGGGGCCTCGACGATGCGGCCGTTAACCCCCCAACCGGGGGTTGATGACTATAAATCACGTGAATTGTTGACAGGCAAACCGTAGGATGGGGAGTTCAGTAGTTTGTAAGCAATTGTCCTATTTCCAACCCTCTTCTCTGTCCTTGCTTTTAGAGTGCAACTGCCACGGGAAGGCTGATGAATGCTACTTTAATCAGACTGTAGCAGACCGATCGCTCAGCCTGGACGTCCACGGCCAATACCGAGGGGGTGGTGTGTGTATTTCATGCCGTGACAACACAGATGGCATCAACTGTCAGAGCTGTGTTACCGGCTACTACAGACCTGCGGGGGTAGGTTGCGTCTCGTGGAATCCAACATTCGGGTAGTCAGAGTCATTGAGGAAATACTGACTTTTGGTCTCTTTTTTTTTTTGTCAAGGTGAACGCTGAGGATGAGAACCCCTGCACCCCTTGCTCATGTGACCCGCATGGTTCTAACGGCCAAACCTGTGTTGAAGACTCAAGCCGGGCGACGCCTTGTATGCAAAAAATACCTAATTGTTTCCATATGATAGAATAATGCAGATTAAAAAAGGGGTTTGTAGTTTTCTCAGTCCATGGATGCTATTGCTTGTGCACACTTAAGATAAGATAAGAAAACCTTTATTAGTCTCGCAATGGAGAAATTCCCAATTCACAATTAAAATGAGAAATAGCGATTTACATACATGCATAAAAATCTCTATAGACCCCGTTCCGCAAATAAGATGTTTCTTTTTTGAAGACGCAGATACAACAGAGAACGCGCAACTCTTCGCCCTTGCACGCCTGTTTTTAAAAATGCGCGTGTGCTCATGTGCGTGCGTCTGTGTGTGTTTGATTGACAGCTCAGCCACCAGGGTCATGCCGCTGTAAGGATGGGTTTGGCGGCCTGCGATGTGACAGGTAACGCGCGCACAAATACACACACGCACAGATTGTGACGGGTGAGCTGAACCTTTCAGCTGTTGTCCGCTCCAATTAGTGTTTGAAAATTGCCCTCACAGTTTTCATGAAAACTTGTAACGATTGACCAATATGCTGTACTTGAGATGACCTTTGAAGCTTACCAAATAAAAGCCGCATTTGATTTTTAATTTACTTCAGCACAGTCTTCCATCGGCTCGTTTGTGCAACTGCTTATCGTATTGTCATTTTACTCCGACGGTGATGCCAACTCCGAGGCCGAATGAGTTAAATTCATTCCATCTCCTTAAGTCAGATAATCTTCCTATAAACCTTTCGTCCAACAATTAAGGCCAGTAAAATAAGCCGCGCAGTCAACTCATTTTTAATGGCCAAGTCTCTGTTGGCAGTTAATGAGGTGGAATCTTTCCTCTGAGATGCGTGTGACACGCGCATGCATGCTTACCTGCTTTGCAAGGTCAGCCGTTTGTTTTAGACCTGAAGTCTTGTAACAGTTCCACTTTGAGTGGGGTGGGGTGGGGTGGGGGTTACTATCAGGAGAATTGACCTTGCGAGCTACTGTTTATGGAATCATTTTTTTCCCCCCATACTCATCACCTTCCTCTTTTGTATTATTAAATCCATTTGTCTTTAGGTGTGCCATTGGTTACATGGGCTACCCAGACTGTCAGCCGTGTAACTGCAGCATCGACGGAAGCGGCAACAGTGACCCGTGTACTTCACCCTGCGTGTGCAAGGTCAAACAAACACACAAAGAAGAACTATCACGACTCTCCATTATGGCCCGTCTTTTTTTTTTCCTTTCTGTTAGATACAGCGGAAGCATAAAAAAGTAGTGGGAGAAAAGTAGGATGTCATTTCTTTTCTGTTTGTAGCTTACCAATTGGAGGAAAGGGTGAGGTCATTTTGCCCATACATTTTTCAACTTTGAAGTGTATTTAGTAATTCACAATATAGATAATTAATGATGGACAATATTTAGAGCGTCACCAATTTTTTTTTTGGGTGGGGAGGGGGCAATTGAACTGATAGTGTAGTTTTACATGCTGCATTCATTACGTCCAATCAGGGCTCACCACAGTGAGTCACTCACATGATGGAACATATCTGTATGTTGAATCGCATTTGTAGGCCATTTCCTAAATATTTTTCTTCCTGCTCACAAGGCTTTTTTTTTTTTTGTCCTTTTTGTCTCTATTTTCTCAACAGGAAAATGTGGAAGGAGAGAATTGCGGGCGCTGCAAGCTCGGTTTCTACAATCTCCAGCGCAACAATCCTCGTGGCTGCGAGAAATGCTCTTGCATGGGCGTCGCGACCCAGTGCTCTGCCTCCACGTGGGTTTATCAGAATGTAAGAAATGGCACACAAACTATGATTAGGATTATCTGCCATTCTGGCTTTCACAAGCAAACATTGTTCAATGCCGCGGAGGCGGCGGAGGAATCCGCCGCGGGTATTTAACCGCAGTTCAGTCTTTGTAGGATCCAAGTGCAGACACAGACAGCTGCTAAGTAAGATAAGTGAGGTTATTATTACAGTGGAAAAGCCAGATGGGAACATAAAGGAAGAGAGAGGAACTGGAGGAAGGCATGGACCCGTTTTGCAGGCCATTCACCCCGGGTCACTGCATGTTTTGGGCACTAAAGTTACCTCATTAATTATGAAAACTAAAAAGAAAAACAAGTTGAATGCAAATGGGGTACCACATAATTGATTACGGCCAGCAGAGGAATAGACCTGATCAACATTCATCCAGGTATTGGATGACAGGGGTCTACATTTTGTTATTAAGCCATGTTTTTAAAGCAAAATATGAGACAGAGTAACTTGAGGAAGAGTGCCTAAGTGAGAAGAGAAATGAGGAAAGAGGCAATCGGAGAAAAGAAGATGTGGCGGAAGATGAAATGAGAGGCGAAAAGAGGAAAACAGTTTTTGACTGACAGGTAGGGGGATGGGACGAGGGGACGTTGACAGAATGACAGCTTTGATTTAGACACTGATTGTGTGTGTGTGTGTGTGTGTGTGTGTG